TTATTTAATTAACTTTAGAATACACGTGTGCACATAATTACTGAAAAGCATACTGCCAATTCACAAATTTCCTTTCTAACTAAATTAACAACATTTATCAAAAATGGCGTTTCAAACAAAACGCAGCCAATACATGGTGATCATCACCATCCTGGTGTCATACCTGATAATAGGCTGTATGGGCACAAAGTCTAACTACAAACAGACCCATGGTGCTCCATGCGATGAAGATGATGCTTGTATTTCGGACAACTGTGGTATTGGCGATTTCTCGGCCATTACTAACAAGGACATAAAATTGGCCCTAAAAGGCTACAAGGGCCCCAAGAACGAGAAGTTTAAGGGCTACTGTCTGCACCCGGACAGGGAGTCGTGTATACCTAACGAGATAAGATGTTTTAAGGACAAGGACTGTTGCAGCAACAGGTGCGAGGAATTTGGCCCGTCCAAAACATGCACAAAATATGCTTGATACCACACAGAGGCCAGTTAATGGTGCACATGGTGTCCATAGTTTAGTTTTATAATATAATTCATGTTTATGGGTACTATGTTCATTGTTACTATTAATTGTTATAACTGATTGTGATCACAATTTTTAACTAAAATAAATCATGTTATTATCACAATACAGATATTGTATTAATTTTAAAAATTGGTTAAATAAAATTTGCTTTTTAGTAACAGATTACACTTTTTTAACAGTCCAAATAGTTTTAAGTTGAATACCGGTATTAATAGTGTAAAATGTATGCAATTCTATATTTAATATAAGTTTAATGTAAAATGGTTCAACTCAACCAAAATTTTACAATAATCTACAAGGCCTTTTTTGTTTATTCAGTATTAAACTGTGTTAGGAAATTGTATATAAATTGTAAAGTTTAAAAAAAACTAACTAGTGAGTACCAATTAACATTAAATTAATTTTTTAAAAGTTAGTTTTAAGTTGAGTTTAGGGATATTTGTTTGAGTAGTACTGCAAACATACCCGAATCCGGAACGGAAAGCCTGATTGATATTATAAGTGCATTGTATACCAAACTAATCGATATTATGAACTAATGATAAGAAATGATACACTTTAAACAAATTGCTAAATTCAATTATATGTTCACACAGTTAAGCTTTTCTAAATCATTATTTAATTGTGATAATAACTTGCATGAAATTTTATAATTTAAAATTTAAATTGCATTAACTTTGTTAATTTTAGTTTAATTATTATTGTAGAGTTGACAATAAATGTGATTTACTATATTTCAAATCAGAGTATTGGTGACCTTAAAAAATAACTATTTATCTAATGATTAGAAAATTTTATCAATAATTTTATGTTTTTATAAACTATTTAAGGAGTTCCCCGTTTGTCACATAATTAATAGGATTACCACTAAATTACAAGCTAATTATTACTTTTAATAACAAATTAATTACTTTCTAATAACATGGAAAAACTTTTGTGGGCTGTCTATGCCATTGTAATCACAATATTTTTGATATACAGGTTTGTATTATGAAATACTTAATTAGTTTAAAATTAATTACACTTATTATTTAATAACTAGATATTTGACACGAAATTTTAATCACTGGTCTAAAAAGGGTGTTAAGGGTCCTAAACCTATCCCAGGGTTTGGCAACATTTTGAGCCCTTTCCTCACCGAACAGATTATCCTCGAAAAAGACTGGATTAAAAAATATGGCAAAATCTATGGGTATATAAATTATTTAATTTACTTTCATTACTAATAAACAATTTGTCAATATATTACTTTAGAAATTAATTTCCTTATTAATGCCAATATTTTTTACTTTTATTAATTCATAGTAAAAATTATTGTTTATATAAGAAAATTGTATTTTTTATTTAGCATATGACTTATGTTTATTTATTATTATAATTTCCTAAACATTTTATTTTTGCTAATTGTTTTATAACTAAAATCTTGTTGACAGCACTTTCGAGGCCAATAAACCCATACTAACCATCGCTGACCCGGCGCTCATCAAACAGATAATGGCCACCGATTCCCATGTATTCAACATCAACGTGACGGATCCCATACT